CTCACCACACTTATTCTTGGCCACTTCTCACATTTCTATGACCTACCTCCGTGGTCGGCAAACTGCGGCTCGAGAGCCACATGCAACTCTTTGGCCCCTTGAGTGTGGCTCTTCCACAAAATACCAGGGCCTGGGCGAATCTATTTTGAAGAAGTGACATTAGAAGAAGTTTAAGTTTTAAAAATGTGGCTCTCACAAGAAATTTCAGTCATTGTACTGTTGATATTTGGCTCTGTTGACTAATGAGTTTGCCGACTACTGACCTACCTCAATCCTGTAAGTGTCTGCATTCATACCCTCTGCTTTGGTTATTCAGGATAAACCTGCATTCATGCTCTAAACCTCACCGGACCACATATTTTTCATCTGAGATATGGGTTACCCACTCAGTTAATTTCAAGGCTGTAGGCAACTGTTCCTTATAGACCTCAAGAGACAGAGGAGTCACCATGCCAACCTTTCTGGGCTGTTATGATGAGGAGATGTGTGTGAAGCACTGAGGGCCTGGAGTATGGAAGGCATTGGGGAAACAGAGTCCTCATTATGATTACTACCCACATGTACCACTGAGCTGCTTCTCTCCACTGCTCAAAAAAACAGCCTCCCATTTCTGTAGGTGCTCACAGGCTACAGACCTGTCCTCAGAGCTTTCTGAACTAGTAAAATACACAGTGCACTAAAAACCCATCTATAATTAGAACATGGATGATTTCTTAACCACCGTTTTAAACTCCTTGAATCCTAAAGTCTGTCTCAACTTGCCAGCATCTGGAGGGATTTCACAAATCATGCTTCAAGCCCTAACCGGTTTGGCTCATTGGATAGAGCATCGGCCTGTGGACTGAAGGGTCCCAGGTTCGATTCCAGTCAAGGGCATGTACCTTGGTTGTGGGCACATCCCCAGTGGGGGACGTACAGGAGGCAGCTGGTCAATGTTTCTCTCTCTTCGATGTTTCTAGCTCTCTACCCCTTGCCTTTCCTCTCTGTAAAAAATCAATAATATATATATATATATTTTTTTTTTTTTTTAAATCATGCTTCAAGGTTGTGTGCACTTTCTGAGGCCAACCAGACTTTCTCAGTCACACCTCACTGCTGAGGATGAGGACCAGAATAAAGTGGGCTTTTGGGCAACCCCACCCAATCAACCACTCTGGGGCTCTTGGAGACACAGCCACTCTAAAACTAACTGCCCACATATCTCGGAGGAAAAAAAAAAAAAAGCCACCAATGCAAAACTCATAATTATCATTGTATTTTGCACAAAAGATCTAGAAACCTGGATCTAGAAACCTGGATCTAGAAACCCATAATTATCATTGTATTTTGCACAAAAGATATAGAAGCAAAAGCTTCTTCTAATTCAGCTTTCTTACTTAAAATAAAAAGGGCCTTGGCCAGTGTGGCTCAGTTGGTTGGGCATGGTCCTTGCACGAAAAGGTTGCAGGTTCGATTCCCGATTAGAGCACATGCCCAGATTTCAGGCTCAATCCCGGGTAAGGGGTGTGCAGGAGGCAGCGAATCTCAATCGCGCTCGCGCTCTCTCTCTCTCTCCCTCTCTCTCTCCACTCCTTCCTCTCTCTCTAAAAATCAATTAAAATATATTTTTAAAATAAATAAAATTTTAAAAGCTCACTGGGTAGCAGCCCTGGCTCTCTCTCTTTTAAGCTATTTGACCAGGTGTCCCTCAATTGGAAGGACCAGCAAAATTGTTGGAGCAATTAAAACGAATAAGTGTGAAGTGCCTAGCACACAGCAAGCACCCTGGAGATGGTAGCTGGTACAGCGCTGCAGATCTGAGAGTGATACATGCCTGGTCCCTCCACAAATCTTTGTGAGTTGTTGGGAACTATCCAGATAAGCAAACTGGCTAAGGTTCAGAGTACTTTACCAAGGCCACTTGGCCAGTAAGCTGTAGGAGAGCAGCTTCCAAGAGTAAGGGCATATACACTGAGTGGCCAGATTATTATGACCTCTGAACACATAATAATTTGGCCACAGTGTATATCCTATATAATAAAGGCTAATATGCAAATTGTCCCCTTAACCAAGAGTTCGACCAGCAGGCAGACCAGCCAACTGCCCATGTCCCATCCCCCTGGCCAGGCTGGTCGGTGGACCTCACCCATGCACAAATTCATTCACTGGACCTCATATATATATATATATATATATATATATATAGAGAGAGAGAGAGAGAGAGAGAGAGAGAGAGAGAGAGGCCAGATTATTATGCATTTAATCTGGCCACTCAGTGTATATAGTGCTTGAAAGCAAGGATTGTGGAATCAGGAATCAGACAAGCCTGGATGAAATCTTAGCTTTGCCACATGAGGGAAGTTATTCGCCTCCATTTACTCATCTGTAAAATGGTTTCACTGGTCCTGGCAGGTGTGGCTCAGTAGAGTGTCGGCCCACACACCGAAGTCTTTTGGATTCACTACTGGTCAAGGATTCGTACCTGGGTTGCAAGTTCGATCCCCAGCTCCGGTCAGGGCGCATGCAGGAGATAACTGATGTGTCTCTAACATCACATCGATGTTTCTTCTCTCTCTCTCTCTCTCTCTCTCTCTCTCTCTATCTATCTATCTCTCTATCTCTCTCTCCTCTCTCCCTCCCTCCCTCCCTCCCTCATGTCCACTCTCTCTGAAAAAAACATGGAAAAAATATCCTTGACTGCCGAACGAAGTGGATCCAGAGACTCGAAGCATGGAACATAGTGCAGAATCTCAAAGGGAACATGGGGGATGGTGAGTGGGTTGGAGGTAATCAACCAAAGATCATATATATATATATATATATATATATACACATATATATATATGAATAACCCATGGACACAGACAATAGGGTGCTGAAGGCCTGGGGTAAGGTAGGGGCAGGCTGGAGGGGGTCAATGGGGGGGGAAAGGGGGACATATGTAATACTTTGTTTTGTTTTGTTTTTTAATATATTTTATTGATATTTTACAGAGAGGAAGGGAGAGAGAGAGAGTTAGAAACATCAATGAGAGAGAAACATCGATCAGCTGCCTCCTGCACACCCCCTACAGGGGATGTGCTCGCAACCAAGGTACGTGCCCTTGACCGGAATCGAACCTGGGACCTTTCAGTCTGCAGGCGGACGCTCTATACACTGAGCCAAACCGGTTTCGGAACATATGTAATAGTTTCAACAGTAAAGAATCATTTTAAAAAATATCCTCAATTGAGGATTAAATAAAAGAATATATTTTTTAAAAATTTATTGATTTCAAAGAGGAAGGGAGAGGGAGAAAGATAGAAATATCAATGATGAGAATCATTGATCGTCTGCCTCCTACACATCCCTTGCTGGGGATCAAGTCCACAACCCGGACATGTGCCCTGACTGGGAATCGAACCATGACTTCCTGATTCATGGGTTGAAGCTCAACCACTGAGCCATGCTGACTGGGCCACAAAAAATGTTTTTAATGGTTTTACCATTTCGCGGTTTCCTCCACCACCTCCTAAATCACCTAGTGTAACACGTGATGATGAAAAACTGAGACTTGATCATTTACATTCCTCACCTTCTCAATGTACGTAGCATGTTGAAAACTTTCAGAAGATAGCCTTTCAAACATTATCATTTTTCTAACTTTTGTTGTGCTTCCACCCTCAAATTTTCCACATCATCAGATACAAGTCAATTAAATGACTATACTTTTTTCCACAAATGAATTATACACAAACAAATTTTTAACCTAAAAAAGAAATAGAAAACTCCACAGCCCTGTAATTTTGTTTTTCTTCAAGGCACTAACAATATGCCATATGGACTGTCATGTTGGTCATTGTTTTCACCCCCCACCAGAGTATCAGCTCCATGAGGACAGTCCAGTTCTGTTCAAGGCACTACCAGTGTCTAAAACAGAACCTGGCGCCTTTGTCCCATGTTGTACCAACTCCAGGAGAATTGCCTAGATAAGAAACATTTCTGCGTCTTTTGCAAAACTATTTTGTCTAGCACCGTTTACTGTTTCCCAGTGCTCCTTATGCGTAACATAAATCCCACAAGAAGTCAGTACGAGGACAAACTTATTTTTGCTCAGCTCATTTGCTTTTCATTCGTTGAATTTGCCTTGGTTGTCAGGAAGCTCGGAGCACAATTCTGTACTCAACTGCGGTGTTTGGTTTTTTTTAATGTGGGGATGGGATATAAATAATTGTGAGGAGATTCTGCCAGTACCAGTGTGAGACCCTATTTTTAACCACAGACAACTTATTCTAAGACACTTCTCAAACTTGAGTGCAAATTACCCGGGGATCCAGATAAAATGAAGAATCTGACTCCTAGATTAGAGGCAAGGGTCTCCAGATGCTGCATTCCTAACAAGTCTCAGGTGATGGAGAGCGGCCCTGGACCACACTTTGAAGAGCCAGGATCTAAGAAACTTCCTGCCTTGATTCGGCAGGATTTCTCTCTCCCCATCTTTGGCAAAATATCATTAATGGTTCCAAAACTGGGGAGGTCACCAGAGGCACCTGGGGAGCTGGGTAGACCTACACAGTCTCTGCAGAGATCCTGAAAAGTGAGGTAGGAATGCGCCCCAGAAGCTCTCCAGGTGTTTTCTGTGCAGGTGGCCTAGAAACACATTTCGGGGAGCCCCGCAGGAGGGAAAGGAGTGCTCTCTTCAAGGTTTCCCAAAGGCACTCTCCTGAGGACAGCTGCTGTCACCAGTGGTGACACCTAGTTCAGGATCCTAAGGGGTGCTCTCCTGCTGTTTCCAGCCCAGCACCAGAAGGGGTCCCGCTGCCTCCCTTCCGGCCACGTGGACTGCAGCAGGGTTCAGCCCCCGTGGGCTTGGGGTTCGCGCTCCCGCCCCCCGCCGCCAACTGTGTCCTGCGCAGGCCCTTTGGGGCGGGCACCGGGCCGCTCATGCGCACCGCCCGGGCCGCAAGGGCGTCGAGCCCCCGCCCCACGGGCCCCGGGGGGTGGGGTGGGGGTGGTCCCCGCGTGCACCCCGCTCGCCTTACCTCTCTGGACCAGAGTGTCCAAGGAGAAAGCGAGGCAGATGAGGAACGCCGAGCGCCAGGCCACCATGACTGGGAGCGGACGGAGGGGACCCAGAGAAGGACACTTTGCGGGAGAGCACCCGAAGAGTAGGTCCAGATGGAGCGGGGAGAGGGGAGGAGCAGCAGGGGGAGGAGCCTCGCCGACACCGCAGGACCAGCCCAGAGCCGAAGCGTGCTGCGCGCTCCTGGTGCTGACAGGGGCGCGCACGAGCGCGGACGCCGGGAGCGCGGACGCCGGGTACGCGCCCTGCTTGGGTGCGGGGGCAGGAGGAGGGGATCGGAGGGGGGGTGTAGGGTTTGCGTCAGAGGCCCGAGCTGCCGGGGGAGCCCGCAGTTTCGGGGGCGGAGCTGGTGCGCCAGGGGCGGATCCAGAGGACACCCGGCGGGGGAGGTTGTCTGGGTTGGGTGCGGGGCCAGCATCCACGAGCTGCCCGCAGGCCCTTCCCATGCGGGCCTGGAGCAGGGAGTCTACAGCAGGGAAGGAGCCAGGGGCCCGAAAATGACACGCAGTGCGCCAGACTCCGGGCCCTAGCGGGACCCAGGGCGGTGACCCTTGGACAGGGCTCTACCCCTTCTGACCTTGGTGTCCCCAGGGTAAAAGGCTCTTCCCTAGAAGTTGCAGGATGGCACCCGCGCTTTGGCCTCAGTCGTTGTGGCCGAGCTTAGTTTTTAGGAGCCGCTGGCTGCCCGCCCACTGGCTGATGCCTGCAGGAAACGAGTGGAACCCCGTCCTGAGATTAACAAAAAGGGCTGTTTTGGTGTCTGACGGCGGTTGGCAAACAGCAATATGTCTGGAGGAAACTAGCCCGAGGTCTGGGCGCCAGGGCAGGCCAGAGGGAAGGGGTGGGGGTGGATTAAACTGGAGCGCTGCGGGCCCAGGGGACTAGGGGTTAGGACTTTGATGAATGCGCCGAAAGCGTAAGTTCCTATCTGCAGAGCCGCTCTGGAAACGTGCTCAAGAATAGACAAACACGCTGCAGTCCTTTCCCATGAGCCCCTGCAAACTAAGTCCTTGTCCTGGACCTGGCAAAATCAGACTCTGGCACTGCCCTGAAGAGCCACATGCCCATTCCAGCCTTGGACGTGAATGCCCTCAAGAAGGGCTCCAGCTGCAGCCAGCTTTCGAGGACAAAGAAAAAGCAGCACCACTGTCCTGAGGGGCAGAGTAGGGGCATCGAGCCTGTCCCTACAATTGTTGGACATGGGCTGCATTTGGCCACATCGTCCTTAAAGGGCAGCTGCTACCACGTTCACCCAGTGTCCCTTCTCAGACTTCCTGTGCCCCACACCTCCAGGCCCACCCCTCCAAAGACCACTCACTCACACACACACACACACACACACACACACACACACACCCCAGTGTCTTCCATCAATCACCCTCTGTGCCATAGTGAGGGTTAAGGGTCAGAGGGTGAAATGGAGCCTGTGACTTCCATCCATTGTCCTGAATCCTGGGGCTTGAAAAATAAATCCTCAGGAGTAAGTGGTTGTTTGGATTTTCAGGGCAGTGCTTACGTATTCTGTGTCACTATCAGCAGAAATAGCTATTATGGAACACATATTACATGCATGGTATATTCTAGGTATTTTGCCCTTATTTTTTATTCCTCACAATTTCATGTAACACCTCAATGATTAATGAGGGGAAAGAAGCAAAATGGAGGTTCCTTGAGGTTGAGGAGTAAATCAGCTCCAGTTTCTTAGTGTCCATTGGCACAAAGGGATCACTAGGAAGCCCCGTGGGTGAATGGCTAAGAACATGTGCTTTGGAGTCAGGCAGAGATGAAATCCTGGCTGGACTCAATAAGGTTGTGTTAAGGGTTAATTGAAGTAGTGGAAAGTCAGTGGCCTACACTGAGGAGGTGGGGAAAATGCAGCCTCTGGGTTGAGGCCATCTCAGTCAACATGCCCTGGACTGTCACACCCGCCGGGAGCTCTAACTGGTACATGTGTAATGCAGACACCTGAATCCCGCTGGCAGAACACTGATGATGCTGTAATACACAGGAAAACTATCTTCTAGCTCAGGGGTAATTGGCCCACCTGTCCCTCTGCATAGCCTGCAGTCTAAGAGTGTTTTGTATTTTTAAATGTTTGGAAAAAAAGTCAAAAGAAGATTATTTTGTGACGTGGGAGAGTTAGTTATATGAAATTCAAATGTCAAGGCCCATGAAGTTTGTGGGCACATAGCCACACCCATTCATTTCTGTATTGTTGATGGCTATCTCTGTGCTGACACAGCAGAGTTCAGTTACTGTGACGGGGATCATGGAGCCCACAAAGCCTAAAATAGTTACCACCTAGCCTTTTACAGAGAAGTTTGCTGGCCTCTGTTCTAGCAGCTTGAACTCTGACAAGGATGAATATTTTAAAAATATTTTTATTGAATGTGATAGAGAGAGGGGAGAGGAGAGGAAAAGAGAAACATGGATATGATCAATTGGTTGTCTCCTGCACACCTCCTGCCGGGTATCTAGCCTACAACCCTGACATGTGCCCTGACTGGGAATCAAACTGGCAACCTTCTGGTGCACAAAGAGAATGCCTAACCATTATACCACACCAGCCAGGGGTGACAAGGATGAATATTAACAGATGATGGTCCTAGACCTAAACAGTGTGCTCCACCAGAACACAGGATGACACAGAAATAAGAATCAATAGAAAAGGATAATATTGCCCAGCTGGCGTAGGTCAGTGGTTGAGTGTCGGCCTATGAACCAGGAGGTCACGATTCAGGTTTGGGGCACATGCCTGGATTGCAGGCTCAATCCCCAGTGTGAGATGTGAAGGAGGTAGCCAATCAATAATTCTCCCTTATCATTGATGTTTCTATCTCTCTCTCCCTTTCCTCTCTGAAATCAATAAAAATATTTTTTTAAATAAAAGGGTAATGTTTACCATGTGCCAAAAGACACCTACTCAAAAAAAAGTAATTAATCAAAATATTGAAAATGACTGAGTTCAGTTATCCTACCAGTTAACCTATGTACTTAGTAAAATGGCTCATCTGGGCCCATGTAAATTAGGTTAGTGGGAGTCCGAAAAGGCTGATGCCATCTAGGTCCTGAGTCTGCCAAGCTGAGGACTAGCCCAGAACTTGATAATCCTGTCAGTCAAATAATCCTGCTGAATTGAGTTTATTTACAAACAGGAAATTCTACACTTAGAAACTCTCATTCTGTGTCTGCCCCTGGACACACACACACACACACACACACACTCCCCACTGCCTCTGAACATGGGAGCTGGGGCCAACTCCTGGCCCAGCCGGCCTTTGTCTCCACCCTCTTGCAACTCCTTACACTTTCCTGAACTTCTCACATCCTGAAAATTGTCACCAATTGGAAAACCATTTGGCCTGACAAGCTCCTCTCCTTAAAAGCCCTATTTTCCTCAGCTCTGACAGAGAAGGATGCCATAGACAAATGGCCATCAGGGGAGTTGAGTCTGAGAGGACAAGAGAGGCACAGATGGAGCTGGGAGGACTTCTGAGGGTTGGCCTGGTATTCCGCCATTTCCCAACCTCTGCCCCCACCCTCATTACATACCATAGTCTTGGGAAAAGTTCTCTAAATTCCAAAACAGCTCTATCACTATCTCACTATCACTCTAAATTCCAAAACAGCTCTATCACTATCTCACTATCACTAGTGCAGAGTTCCAGTCTAGATCACAAGTGCCACAGACCCTTCCTTGCAAAGTCCCCCAACGGGGCCTCCTTCACCCATGGCCAAAATCACTCCCACCAGTGGTGAGGGCCTGGGGTGGAGTACTGGGGTAGGTGAAGGTGGTTGATGGGGAAAAAGGGGGGGAATATGTAATACTTTCAATCATAAAGATATAAAAGTAAAATAAAGACAAAATCACTAGTAGCATCGGCCCACCAGACCACTGGAAAAGCCTTGCCACTGCTGCCTCCACCACCACCACTGTGGAGTGGAAGGAGCCACTAGAGTGCACCACTGTCCATGTCAAGAGTGCCAGTGATCCTTGGGGGTCCAGAATGGAGAAAGAGGGCAGCGACAAAGGCTTATGGGACCCAAGGCAGCTTAGCTTGTGCTCATGATCTCAACAGCCCTTCCATCTGCTTCCTCTTTTCTGGCACAGCCTTTTGTTAATCCCTCTTAACCAAACTAGTTTGTGGGGCCCCACACCATAGGGGTGGGAAAAGGAGCAATGCCTCCCCTACCCCCTGAACTCCCCACTGTGCAGGCCAATTAAGAGACAAAGACTTCGTGCATTTCAGTGGGAATTACAGAGGCTAGCTAGCGAAGGGGAGGGGGAGCACCAAGTGCTACAACAGTTCCCCCAAATGCCTGACATCACACATCAGGTCTTTACCAGTCCCAGGCAAAAGGAGAAAAATGAGGTTGTTGTTGCAAGTTTTTCCCCATAAAGCTAGAGGACTGACCTTTATTCTGAAATCATAGGCTTTTTGGTATACAAAAGTCCTTTATTTCATGAAAAGATAGCAGTGTTTTCTTTAATGTGCTTACTTTGCAAAATAGGAAGTTGGCAGCCCTACCCATCCTCAAATTTAAAAAAGAAAGAAGGAAAGAAAGAAAGAAAAAGAAAGAAAGAAAGAAAGAAAGAAAGAAAGAAAGAAAGAAAGAAAGAAAGAAAGAGAGAAAGAAAGAAAGAAGCCTACTTGCTATTAAAATTCACAAGTCTGGGAATCACTGCCTATACCAGCATATGCAGTCCACTCAGGACCCTGAAACAAGACCTTTTTTTTTTTTTTTTTTTTTTTTTTTTTAACACACCACACCCCATATGTAAACAAAAGCTCTGAAAATGGATTCTAAAACAATATTTCCTTTCATAGTTTTTAATTGTAAGCAAATGATCTCTCAGTCTTCTAGGCCTCTCCACAGAGTTCTTGGATTTTATGATAAGGCAAGGTCAGGCAGAGCCTTGAATGCCATGCTAATGAGCAAAGATTTGATTCTGAGAACAAAGGGAAGCCACTCCAGGGTTTTAACCGTTAAACAGCAGAGTGGCTATAGGAGTGGCTTCTGGCAT